GCCCATAAGGAAAAGTCTAGCGTGGTTAATTTACACGATTTTGGAGGGCAATTCGCGTTACCTTCGCGAGAGTTAGCAAAACAGTACATGCGGTAAGTGCATCTTGGCGCCCACTGTGTGACCCGTAACACTGTCTTGCTGGAGACACATGCCGTCGTCTCCTTTTATATTGGTCATTTTGGGCAAAAAATTACGTTGGCGGTGATAGTCTCACCAACGTCAAAAATACGGGCCAATGACCCGCCATCCTAAAATCCACACCAAACTTTTTTTGTGCATGCATTAATACCCGGGGAATCTCGGCATTAAAAAGTGCACTAGATTAGGTTAGGAAGGCGCATACGAATGACCCATACTTCCACTCGGAGGCAAATTTGCCCACTTTGAATGCCAGGAGGAGGTAAATCCTTCTTACCGAGGTTATTCCATATAGTGTTACTATCCCGGATGGAGCTCCCCAAACTATGGAAAAATTGTGATTCGAAATGCTTGACATAAGAAGTGGTGAATCGATTCCTCATCTCGACGATTTTTGCAGAGGGAGCTTGTTGGTGTACGCCATCGATGGAGCATTGATGCTATAGCCCAGTGCCCTCTGATCACTCTGGTAAGAGCCCTTACAGCATATTTGTTTAACCAACAAACATTTAGGTTATAGAACGATAAGAAAGCGATTCGAATTCTAATGTTTCTCTCTAAGGTAGAACGATTAGAAAACTGTTGAGAACTAAAGCATTCTCTACAAAAAGGGGACTTAGTTCTCGATATCGAGAAAAAGGTTAGATATCGAATCGTATTCTAACATTGAATTCTAAATGTTTTCTAATGTCTAGTGTTTTTCTAATTATTCTCTCATTGAATTCTAACATAGTTCTCTAGCCTGATTTTCGATTCGATTGTACATTATAATTCTAATGTAAAATCAATTTTCGATTCGATTGTACATTATAATTCTTATGTAAAATCAAAACGTTTCTCTAACCATATTTCAGATATACATATGTTTCTATGGGTAAGGAAAATATCAAAACCAAATTTCATCAAAGTTGGATCACACTTAGAAACACCCGCCCACATGAGGGGTGGGCGTGGCAGACACTCAGTCTTTATCATATTTTATATTTTTTCTTTTCTAAGTGCGAATAGAGTTTATACAAAATATCAGCGAAATAGGAGCACCATGCTATTTTTGGCGACTTTAACTACAAACGAGCACTAATAAATAATCGTGTTGATAATAAAGTTTTATTATTTCGACTTATGACTTGTCATTGGCATGGTAATTTGGCATCAGTGACTAAATAATAAACAACAGGTACCTAACCATATCTTAATCTTATTATAAGCAGTGGTCGACGAAAAAGGGTGAGTCATTAGCTGTAACGGCTGCTATGGGAAAACAACTTTCATATTTACATACTACTTTTTAAAGAAAAAGAGTTGTACTACCACTCGCCAGGAGCTGATCCAACCAACTTCAAAACAAATTTTTTTTGATAGTTTTTGATACATTTTTCCAGTTTGGTGCACTTTCAGATTCGGCAAATTTTTAAAATCTGGTAAAATTAGATACTTATTACTTACATCATATTTAATAGTTATATCTACAAGCGAAATCGGTTTGGGGAAGCAAATTAAAAAGAGGCAGAGTAGCCATTAAGAGTGCTCGTGATGCATAAAACTTGCACAAGCTGGTACAAGCGAACACCCTTAATGCATATTTTAGTTGCGTTCGCCAAAACCTTTCTCTTCGCCAAATTCATTCGCTTCGCAAGTGTTAATACCACCCTTATAATAGCGGCATTAGGAGGCAGTAGGTGTGGGGGTCTGAAAAGCTAAAAAGGCAACAAATTTAACGCTTTTGACTATGCTGATAAGCTACTCACCTATATACGTGCCATGAAGGTATCATTGCTTTTAGATTGCAGGTAGCTTTAAAATTGACTAAGAACTACCGCTGTGAAAGGGTCTGTCAATAAAGCGATTAAAGTTCACAATTTTCCCCTTCACCAAAAAAGGGTAGAAAGTTTGACTTAAGTTATCGCATCGTATGTAGGGATAACGCTGAATCAAAGGCTCAACTGGAAGTCACATCTGATAACTGTTACCAACAAAATTCGTCAGAGACTTGAGGATCTCATCATCAAACTCACAGATAAAGGCACCCAAAGGCGGTATGCATGGTCGGGGATGGCAATGCTGGAACCGGTATCACACAGGATTTAAAGCCCTCAGTGGAATTCTAGAACCCGTCACGCTAAATTTTAATCGTAAAAAATCCCTGTGTGAATATGGATTGTGCTTAAAAATATACAACGCCTCCAGGGAAACATAACATTTACATAATGCTTATGATTTTATGTTGAACCCCGTCCTCATTCGCGTTACATATTTTTAGACCCATACGCTTTTCATTTAGAGTTTTTTAGCGACAGAAATTTAGAATATGTACATTTTGTTACACATTTCACATCACGTCTGTTTAACAGTACAAAAATACGACGGGAATATTCCACGCCTGATTTTGAGATTAACCTTCTCTAATACGTTAATCTCTGTTCAAACTGGAACCAACCGGAAGGCTCCCGCATTCGCTCGGTCTCTTCGTATGTCGCCAAAATATTGATTCTGCTTCTCATCTACTATGTATATAATTTATGTAAATCCATCGATATGCTCTTATTGAGCCTCGATACACTACATCTTTTCCAACAGTATTTCAGAAAAACACAAATGTTTTTCAGAAAATGCCAAATGAATTTCGGAAAAGTTCCAATGATTCTCAGAAAAACGCAAATGTATTTCAGTAAAGGGCAAATGTATTTCAGAAAAATATTTTTAGAATACAGTTGTGCTTTTCTGAAATTCATTTGTGTTTTTCTGAAATACATTTGCCCTTTTATGAAATATTTTTGGTTTTTTTTAGAATTTGATTTGGCTTTTTCTGAAATACATTTGGTATTTTCTGAAATACATTTGAGCTTTTCTGAAACACATTTGAGTTTTTCTGAAATACATTTGGATATTTGCTGAAATACATTTTAGTTTTCTGAAATACATTTGCGCTTTTCTGAAATTCATTTTGCCTTTTTCTGAAATACTGTTTGAAAAGGTGTAGTCTTTTCAGACCGTCTGATACCGGTTTTTCAAAGGTGAAAGGTACCTCAGCAATTTCAGATGCCGAAAAATGCGATATGACTTCATACTACATACATATATACATGTAGTATTTTCGGGTGTTACGTCTCATTAATTCCACTTGAAAATGTGTTTTTACTTATTTCACATTTAATGCGCGGAGAATGAGTGGGAGCCTAATTACCTCCTAGCAACAAAAACAGCGGGCAGTATTATTTCGAAGTTGTGAACGACTTTGTTTCCTTAGGAGCCAGCAAGCACACGTTAGTCGGAGATCTAACGAAGCATAATTTTTGCCCACTGGTGCTTAGTTAAGCTTAACATGGCTTTTTAAACGAACAGAAATCAGCCTTAACGAATCTCTGACTTTTTCTGGGCTAAAATGCCGTCACAGGCAACGCGTTAAAATGATACTAAAAATGTTTGTTTGGTGTCTCCGAAAAATTATCTTTGAAGTGCCGAATACGCTTATGATTCAAAAGAAAAATGTGTGATTAATATCAGCAAAAGTGTGGTTAATATCACCAAATCATTATTGAAAATATCAACAATGGCATTGTTAATAAAAAACAAAAATCACTTTGATTCCTTTTCAAGTTTGAATTAGGTAATATTAGCGAATTTTTGGTTGACTTTTTTTCACAGTTACTGCACAAGATTGGTAGAACTACAAGGAGGAAAAAAAATCTAAGAAAATTTATTTGGCTAAAATGAACTATAAAAGTGCTGATATAAGTACAATTGTACCTACTTTTCCATCGCTGGTAGGTACCGGGACATGAGCCTTTTCATAGCCTATATGGTCGACGGCCTTTCTGTGGTCAGTCAAAACGATAGGCAGCTGTGCGCCTATGGTAAAACGGCAAACTAAGAAATCGAGAGAGAGAAAAGAGAGACTTTCACCCCTATTGCGAGTGTCGACTAGTAGTAGATAAACGACTGTTAGTCGATTAACGATTATCAGCGGTATTTTCAAAGCCGTTTTCTCGTTCAATAAATAAGTGTGATTGGTTTATAGTCGCTTGTTGAACTAGAAATCAACATTCACAGTACCATGGAAAAGCGATAATCGAATAGTTGTTGTTTACCTACTACTAATCTATGCTCGCAATAGGGGTGTTTTACACTGCGGGGACCGTCTTCGCCCAGTATCTGAATGTTTAATTTCATAAATGGCCTAAGGTTAGAGTCCACTTTTATGGAGCCAGCACAAAAGATAGGTGACTTTTAATCCCCTTAAATCATAATAATAAAACAACGGTTTGGTCATTATTACAGAGAATTCAAGTAAGGTATGTTTCAGCATAACAAAATTATTCACAAAACACACGAAAACTTGGTTTATTAACTTGTATTTATAAAATATTTGAAGAAGTTAACCTATATCTAAAACGTTTTGGTACACAAAAAATAAGTCAGTGGCACCGTTCCATCGGCAGGTAATTTCGGCCCATTTCTGTTATCAAGAATCTACTCATAAAACACCAACCTCCTTTCGAAGGCGGCGTAAAATCGTTGGTTCTTTCAATTGTGTAAAAAGATGAAAACGTGCACAACGCCAAGCTTCTCCGGCCAAGCACTAAGCAAAATGTGCTGAGCGCGGATTGTTTTGTTCTTTTTAATGGATGTCCATTTAAAAGGTAAGCTACTTATATCCAGCAAATAAGCAAAAATTTTGATGATTAATTGACTGGGTGGTAAAAGCTTATATTCTGAATTTTTTCCCATAAAGAAGCCGTAAATTGTACCCAAAGGAAGATGACTCAATTGTTATTCCCTGTTTTCGTTCTCCTTTATTCTAGTCCCAAGGAATTATCATAATCTTTATATGACCCTTTTTCCTTCGTTTAATCCTAATGTAGCACCGACGAGGATGCCCGCCAAGCAATGATGCATGATCGTAAAAAAATCAATGAGGTTCAAGTACGTTTATTGCTTTCCTCACGCGCTGAAATGCAAAAAGTTATAGAAACTGCACGTCAGCAGTCGCTGCTAGCCCTCAAGAATGCCGCTGCATTGTCAAGCATCAAAGCCACCGTGTCATCACCGGTTTTGCCCACACCACAACCACCAGTTATTACCCACAATAGTTTACATAATATACTTTCCAGTGCTGCACCATCATTTTTGGCATACCAGAAACAAGCTGGTATCACTTTGATAGAAAATCCCCATGAAAACAGCCCCACTGAAATAAAAGATACATATCGTAGTAGCGTTGAAAAAAGTCGCGATCGTCGTCGCTCCGCATCGCGTGATCGCCGTCGATCACGTTCACGTGACCGCAGCGATCGAAATGATCGTGGCAGTTCACGTCGAGGTCGGCGTGATAGAAGTCACTCCCGATCGCGAGATCGCGATTGGAAGAGTCGACGCTCTAGCCGACGTTCACGCAGTCGAGAGCGTAGTCATGATCGGAATCGGGAACGTAGCACCGATCGTAATCGAAATTCGAGTCGTAGCACTGCAAATAATAAAGAGCGTGACAATGGCCATCAGTCCAGTAAGTCTATAAGAGACATAGCGAGTAATAAAATTGGCAACAAATTACCGGATACAAATGAAAGTGTCAGCGCTAAAGTGGGCAGCATTCCCTCTTGGGGAATACCTGCCATGAATTCGTACCAAACAAAAAGTACAGAAAATAATGCAACAGCTCTAAGCAACTCTGCCACATTTGGTGTAGCAGCCACTGGTATGAATAGTATGTTAAATCCCTTTAGTATGGGCGGTGCAATTCCAGGCATACGTAGCGCTCAGATAGCGAACTCCTACACCAGCACCGCTGTCAATAAAAGCCCAGATTCTCAAGCTAACCTGAGCTCCGTAAATATACCAGCCGCCAGCATGGTACCAGCATTCCAAAGCTATTCTTCTTCGGTCTCTACCACTAACAACTACAGCATCAATTTGTTCAACTCGAATTCGAACAGTAGCGACTCTGCCAAACCTTTTGCTCTGCAAAACCCCTACACAGCAGCAGTTCAACAAGCAACAATGAATACCAACTCGGTAGACTCGACTAGTTCCGCATCCGGCAGTCCCACGCAACAGAGCAGCAACACAATGTTCCCTGGTCTCAGCTTAATGGACAAGAAACCGGATCTTAAATTGCCACAAGCAGATTCAACCATTTCCACAGCTACATTGCCGCCCGGCGGTCAGTTACCGCAAGAGCCAATCGCTTTCGCCAATACAAACCCATATGCACAGATGTATCCCAATCTGTTTGCACAAGCCGCTGCTGCCAGTGTTGGCAAACTGAGTAGCATTCAACAGAAAACACGCGAACCAGAAATGCAGCGGTCAAAAGAGACATCGAAGGAGAGTTGCTGCCTCAAGATTAGCAACATGTGCAGCAGTACGACCTACAGCGACATACGTAAATTCTTCATGGGTCTCTTTATACCGCACAACGGCATCAAAATGGTGAACGACAAACATGGCATACGCACCGGCGTAGCTTATATACAATTCTCCCGAGTCTCCAGCGTACACAAGGCCATGATGCGCAACCATACGCTGCTGAAGTCGAAGCCAGTTAAAATGGAGATCGTGAGCGATGATGAATTCGAGCAAGCCGAGGACAGTTTCCGCCCTCAAGGACGATTCGAGCGTAGTGATCGCAGTGAGCGTAACTATCAAGATAGTCGTAGTGACTACGATCGTCACGACGATGATGGTGATGGTGGAGAATCGAACTACCGCGGTGATCGTGGGGGAGCTTTTGACAATGAATTGAAAGATGAACCATACACCGTACTCTGCATTGAAGATATACCCAATGCGGGAGCTGAGCACGATATTATGCGTATGTTCTCATCGTATGCTATTTACGATATACTCCTAACACCGAGTCGCGAAAATAGGCGGGAATTCAAAGGGCATGTGCTATTCTCACGCGCTGAAGAAGCTAAAGCGGCATACGAGGATAGATCTAGACATATGATTGGCTATCGGAAAGTTCGTGTGCGTCCATGTACGGTAGAGGAAATGGAGAGAGAAAAAGAGAAAGTACGTTTGGCGAATGAGCAATTGATGAAAGAAGAGGAAGCCTTGGCTGAGGCGGAAGCAGAGGCAGAGGCAGAGGCGGAGCGGCTTAAAGAAGAGGAAAATCAAGGAGGAGAGGATGATATGGATGTAGCGGATGATGCGAGTAGCGTAAATGGCGGCGAAGGGCCGAAAAACGACGAGCAAGGTGAGCCGAACATGTTGTCAGACCCCAGGAATCCCAAGATACCAAGTCTTTTCGAACTACCTGTAAGCAATAATGATAACAGTGTGTCAAGGCGCGATACCGGAGTTAGTAGTGCACCAAGCGATCCACGTCTGCGCCGACAAAAACCCAGTCGTTTCGAACCCTTAAATCCGGCGGATCAAATCAGTCGAAATTTGAATGTTAACAGCATGGATATGGGTATGAACAGCAATATCGGCGGCAACATGGGTATGAGCAGCAACATGGGCATGGGCGGCAACATGGGTATGAGCAGCAACATGGGCATGAGCGGCAGCATGGGAATGAACCCCAACATGGGCA